GTTGATTGGCACGTTTCCTTCCCTCAGCATCTTCTAACGATTTTCCTTAAAACTTCCACTATGAAGGCAGTAAGTGAACGTGAAGTGAACTTGACACCACTTTCTTCCGGAGAGAGTCGAGCTTTTTTTATTTTACTACAGATACGCGGAGGATTTCGATCGGCGTTGTCTCCTTTTTATAGTGGCTTTTCAAGTCGATCAATAAGGGATCTGATCTTATCGTCTTTATTTGCTATAGATCCAGGTGCTTATGATTCTTCCATGGCGGTCCTTTCGATGTTCTTTTGAAAATTAAAAATTACTCTTAGCAGTTCGGATCCGTCTTGGCCTCCGGTGATTGTTTAAAAAAAAAGATGATATTTCCAATAAAATTAAGTATAAGCTAGTAAAAAAAATACATACAAAAGAAATCACTCGAGGAACTATTTTCTTTTTTATCTGAAATCTAAAGTTCATCCCTTTTTATTGCGCTTAATAGCAAATGCGGATTTAATTTTAATCGCTTATCGTTAGTCGAAGTTATTTTTTTACTACTTCTGCGTGTTCTACTTCTCTTCCATCTTATTATTCCTAGTAATGTAACGACATAGTTGCCCTCTCACGGCCAGAAGATAAATCAGGTTGCACTTTCAACAGCCCGGCCAGCCTCCGAAGCGATCTGGTATGCCGGAGCTTAGTACTGACGTCATGCTATTAACGCTGACCAAGACCCTCTTGTCCACATTCTTGCAGCGGGAGCTTCTCTGTCTCAGCATAATTGACGCTTTTTGAACACTGGTCTTCATTATGCTGAACTTTTCATGCCGATCTTCTAGTTGGTTTTAGTTTTCACTTTGCGTAATTATATTATTCAATATGTATGCTCCCACTGACTGTTTTGTTCTTCATATTAAGACTGCCTGTTCTAATCTGTGTTCAGGTGTTTTATTTTTTGCCAGAATTAGATATAAAAATGGAAGTTAGAGAGGTTAGAGAGACAGACGAATCGGTATTGTTTTATGAATTTGATTTCCATTGCAGGTAGTACTGGCACTTCTCCTGGCCGTGGCCGCCGCAGACAAGGCCCCATCCTTCAGCTACGACGCCCCTCGTGAACGCGTATCCTCGACGTCCCCAGTCAGGCAAATCGCCATTGTCCGTGACGACCGCGTTCACCCTGCAGGCGGAGCCTATAGCTTCGATGTAGAGACTGAGGACGGCATCGTCAGGAGCGAGTCTGGTGCCGCTGACGGCTCACAGCAAGGAAGAATCAGGTATGGAAAAAAACTTTTGTTCGAGTCGTGAATGTGGAAATTCTCTTCTGAATCATAATTCTGAGACACTCTGTATGTCCAAATTACCATACAAGAAATGCACTCATCTCGATTCCCCTCGCCTTGCAGCTTCACCTTCCCCGACGGCCAGGACTTCGATCTCGAGTTCGTGGCCGACGAGAACGGCTACCAGCCCCAGTCCGCTTTCCTGCCCGTGGCCCCCGAGTTCCCCCACCCGATCCCTCAGTTCGTCCTCGACCAGATCGCCTTCGCCGCTGAGGAGGACGCTCGCAAGGCCCGTGGGGAGGACAGACAAGCATCAGCTGCTCCTCGCCAGACATACGGCGCCCCAAGCAAGTAATAACAGCGCTTACGTCTAGTAAGGGTCTGTTATATCACCTCCCTGATATATGAGTGCAACGACTACGCCGTTTGTGTTGTTTCAGATGGCCAAAGCAAAGCGGTACCATGTTCATACTGTGTGAATGTTGGAGCGTTTGCTCTATGTAATTTATTATCTGAATGAAATTCTTATTGCCAAATAAATTATTGCATACGGACATTTACCTTGTTTTATAGACATTATAAATAACTAATCATATAAATATCAGACGGCTGTGCCTGATTAACGGCAATTTTATACACTTTACGCAAGTATCCCCGTCGGCTACTTTGAAATGATGTGAGATGCATAAGCATTGAAAATATCTTGATATAAAAGCAAAGGATGTATGCTAACATCGTAGAAGATTTGCAGTTACTTTTTTTCTGGTCAAGTAATTTTCGAGATAGCTTTTGTAACCTATATTTGTTGTAATCTTCATCGAAATTCAGCTCACGAGTACTTCAGATGTATCGACTGGACTACAAGCAGCTTAAAATCATCTTTCAAATGGTATTAGGTTTAGCTTATTTTGGTAACGCCATCAACATAAACATAAATTTGCGTCGCGCAAGGCTATTTGTTAGCCAGCCTTATTATTTGAGCTACTGCATCACTGTCAATATTATTACCGCCACTGCTACAACTGCTACTGTTGCTGATGGTGATGTTGCTGCTCCTGCTAATATTACCACTGCTGTTACTATTGTTTTTACTAACTTACCTACTAGCTCTACTGTTTTGTGCAATAGCCATATTGCTATTACTAGTATTGTACTAAAGTTGTTAATTCTAATAACACGTATTACTATTAGGAGTAGGCCATTGACGCTGCCAAAAACAGGGAATGAGTCACAGAACAGAAGCAAAATTCTTTATTTCTAAGTATCATTTTGTATGTGTACCTGATCAGAAATAACTTTTAAAGTACTATAAGTAAGATTGTATTTGTATTTGTATACTGGGTAGATGATTCATCAATTAGTATCTGTATATCCTGAGCTAGTTTGTCCATTCCCTTCGATTTTTTTGCAATTATTATTCCTTTCATCATCATCGTCATCGTCATCATCGTCATCGTCATCGTCATCGTCATCGTCATCATCATCATCATCATCATCGTCATCGTCATCGTCATCGTCATCGTCATCATCATCATCATCATCATCATCGTCATCGTCATCGTCATCATCATTATCATCGTCATCATCATCATCTTAGTCATCAGTCTTTTTTTCTTTACTGTCATTACCATTCTCACCGTTTTTATATATGAAAACCTATTTATTATTGACACAATAATTACACTTATTAGTACTGTTGTTGTAGTTAGTATATCACTGTAATTACTACCACTATTATTATTGTTACCATTATCATTATATTTTATCATTGTAATAACTATTATAATATTGTAATCATTATTGTTATTATCAATTATTATTATTATTGAAAGTAGTAGTAGTAATTTATTATTATTATTGTTGTTGTTGTTGTTCTCATTACTATTATTATTATGTTATTATCATTACTATTAGTATTATGATTATTATCATTGCGGTTTATATTATCATTATTATTATAATAATGATAAATGATTGTTATTGTTTTTATTATTATCATTATTATTATTATTGTTGCTGTTGTTTTGTTGTTGTTGTTATTATTATTACTATTATTATTGTTATTATTATTATTATTGTTGTTGTTGTTATTATTATATTATTTTAATATTATTATTATTGTTATTGTTGTTGTTGCTGTTATCATTATCATTATCATTATTATCAGTCATTAATATAAATTATTGTTGTTGTTATTATTATTATAACTAATATTATTATCATTATGATGATGATGATGATGATAATGATTATAATCATCACCAACACCATCACCAACACGATCACCACCATCATCATCATCATCATCATCATCATCATCATCATCATCATCATCATCATCATCGTCATCATTAGAATTATCATTAACAATATTATTGTTAGTATTAGTAGTATCATTATTATTACTATCATTATTATCGTTATTACTGTTGTTGCTGTTCCTGTTCTTTTTATCGTTGTGATTATCATTACTGTCGTCTTTTTATTGTTACTACTACTTATTACAAATATTACAATATCATTATTATTACTAATTACTTTCTTTATTATTACTGCTATTAATAGCATCATTATTAGCAGTGATATCAGTATCTCCATTATATCACTATCAATATTTTCGTTATCATCTTCACTATTATTATTATTATTAATGATCGTTATTGTCAACATAAGCTAAATATCACTAGTCCTTATTCCCTCATTTCTTCCTTAGTTTCCTCAATCCTCATTCTCTCAGTCCTCACAATCCCTTATATCCAACTCCACTACGTTTAAGCAAAAATACCCAATACCTTGTCCCCATATGTTCATTATCTCAATTCCCCATTTTGGTCTTGGAAGCAGTAAGTCTCCACGCTCCATCCCTCTTTCCTCACTCTTCCGTTAGTCCTTCTGTCTCAGTTCTTATTCCAGTTTATCATTCTGCCTCCTATTCCTCATTTCAATTACTCATTCCTCCTCCTATCTCTCATTCCCACTACCCCATTGTCAGCTGTGCCTCTGAATTATCTCCACAAAAGGCCTTGGCCTGTGAAACTGGTTTTGGACAAATTTAAATAAGCAAAATGTACTTTAGAGTAGCGAATAACCGCTTACACACGAAACAACGTGCTATTAAAAGAGCGTAGTTTAGAGAATCCATCTACAAAAAAGGTAAGTTATTTATATATACTTTATCCTCCTTAAAGAATTAGTGGCTTTGGCATATAGAGATAATGCTAGACTAAACTCTAAAACGAATACAGCACAGTACTAGGATCTTGATGCAATAAAAGTGGCAGTTGGGGAGGTCAGAGATATAAACGCAAAGGTTTGTAAGACCATTTAAGGAATATTTCAATATTTCCATTACAACTACTATCATTATACTATTCTTGTTTCTTTTTTTTACGGCGTGGTTATTGTTCCGGCACCGGATCCCATAACAATTTGGCTATTCGTCCGGCATGCATGCACATCACAAACACACTTTCACGCTTGCGTATATTCTTCAAAACAAACTTTGGCACTTTTTTGTGTTGGTTGTGGTGTGTGTAGCGACGGATCGACAATGGATTGTTTCAAAGTTGGGAATGAATTTACAAGCTTTGCTGCCGTGAAAGAATATTTGACGAAATAGCAAGAGAGCACTTTCACACATTTTACGTGAAAGATTCAAGTACTGTTGCCGCAGCTTTGAAGCGTACACCGGGTAAGGAGTTGAAGCCAGAGTTGAAGTACTCCTCCTGGTGTACGCTTGCATTTCTGTTGGAGGGAAGTTTATCTCAAAATCAAATAGGAGCAGACCAAATCAAAGGTAAATTCTTGTTTCGCTTTCTCATTTGATTTTCTATAATGCAGTAAGGCCCATCTATGAAACTGTGAAACTAAGTTTGCTGTTTGCAAACTGTTTGCTAAGTCGTGCAATGTATGTTCGTGCGCAGAGTTGGTGCGCCTGCATACCAAAATGTTATGAGATCCGGTACCGGACACTAACTTTTCTATTGTTGCTGTTCTTCATCTACAAATGGCATTCATAGACGCGAATACAGTGGCATCTATGGTTATGAATTACATTGTTATTATGATCATTGTTATAGTTATCTTTATTTTTACACAGACTGAAATAATATTCATTCTCTTTTTCTTCAAGTAATCATTGTTGTTATCATTAGAATTATTACAATTGTCTTTTGTAATCATATTAGTTATTATCCATATTGATATTGATGATATTTTCATTGCCGTCTCTATTATGACATAATGTATCTTCATGTTGCCATTTCAACAAAATATGCAATATTCTGCTTGGAATAATAATAATGATCCTGAAAAGGATAATTATGATAATTATAATGGGATAATATAAGAACAGTAATAATAATGATTATTAATATTGTCATCATCCTTATTGTTACTATTTTCTTTATTATCATTAACAATGCTATTGTTGGTACTATCACTATTCCTATTATGGTTATTGTTATTATCGTTAATGAAAATAATATTATTGTTATTGATAATAATTATAATGATAATTATAATGGTGATAAATACAGTATTATCATTATATTAGTAGCAGTAGTAGTAGTATCATTATTATTCTTTTTTAACTCCTGTTAATATTACCACTGCTATTACCATTGCTGTTACTAACTTACCTATTAGCTCTACTATTCTGTTCATTAGCCAAATTGTTATTACTAGTACTGTACTAAAGTTATTCATGCTAATAACATTTATTACTATTAACAGTAGGTCATTGACGCTGCCAAAAACAGGGAATGAGGCAGAGGAGAACAGAAGCAAAATTCCTTATTTCTAAGTATAGTCACCACCATTATCATCAGTCATCATCATCGCCACCTTCATCATCATTATCCTCATCATCATCATCATTATCATTATCATTATCATCATCATTCTTATTGCTGTGTTATCATCAGCATCATTATCAGTATTTGACAATGACGATGAAATGAAGAAATATTAATGAACTAGAGATGATGTGAAGAAGGATAAACCATTTGGTAATGAGAATGAGAGAGATGTTTACATTAATGATAATATTGATAATATTGATAATAGCAGTAATGGTACAAGTAAAGCGATAAGACAGTTATCATTATCGTCATTGTTTTTATTCTTGTTAGTTATTATTATCATAATTGTATCATTATTATCATTACTACTACTATAATCATTATCATTATCATTATTATTTCCATTATCATTATAATCGTTATTGTCGTTATTATTATCATTAATATTATTATGTCTTTTCTTATTGCTATTATTGTAATAACAATAGTCATTATTATTACTTATATTACTGCCATAATGGTGATTATTATGATTATCATTATAATGAATGCTATTCTTATTATTATCATTGTTTGAATTAATATCATAATGATAATGGCTTAATATTGAAATAGATTAATAAAGGCAAAAATAGTGATGATACTGACAGTACTGATGACATGGTTAGGTTCGGTTTAATGTCATGAAACTCCCTCTTTGGTCAAGGGCTAGGACGGGCCTGCCCTATGAAGGACAGTCCCAAACTA